TTTTTTTTTACTTTTTTTTGTGAAGATAATTTTTTTTTTTCGAATATTCAAAACACGATGCATTTGGTGTGAGTAATCAATGCTTATTGCTTCATTGTTTGATTTTTCATTAAGGCTCCTTTTCAACTTCATCTTTGATAGTTAGTAATTCACAAATGACGAAGACAAAACGTTTTATGAATTGTGTAATAAACTTGAAAGTTTGCGTAAATGATTAGTACATGCTTCGGGTCGCGACTAAAGCAGGCAACCATTGTAACGTTTATGTAATGCGGAAGGTATGCAAGCAGGCGTTTTCTGAAACATATCATACATGTACTCTCATTTGATTTGCAACACACCATACACACAGGAACATATTTCTATTTTGAAAATTGTGTAAAAGATATTTTATTTTTAAAAATTAACTGACATTTTTATATTTGGAGCAGATTTGACTGATATTAATTATAAATGTAATTCAGGTAATAATTTTTTATGATTTTATAAATCTAATAACGTGGAGGACTTGAGTGTTTAGTAAAAACAAAGATAAATTTGTCACAAACGTGTAGAGTTTTATGGATTAATTTTAATTAATAAATCTGTACGGACATGTGAGGTGTGTTCTTCACACACCGGTATGTATGTACCCTACCACAGACATATTTTTTTGAGTTCTCTGTCTTTTGTTCTGAACATTGTTTTACGTGAACGTTCTGATCTGTTGGCAGGTTAAATCACGTTATTAAATCACTTAAGTGTGAAAGTTCGCCATATGCTCAACAGCCCTGCTAACGTTATTTGTGTGGAGTGGGGAGTCAGATATAGGCCATATCGAGCCACCAGCACAAAACATTTTCTGTTGGTGGTCTCACAGACACATGCAGGGGTCTGCGAGCAGGATTATCAAAACGTAAATGACTCCTTGAAAATTAACGCGATTCATAAAATAATTATTAAAATCATTAGGTAGATTGTGTTATCGACAAAATCTTGTGTCGTTCAAAACCTTTAGTAAAATTTGTATAACTATGATTGTCACTAAATATGTTAAAATGTTTTGGTCCCCCGTCTATGTTATATTTTGTACTTACTACTAATACATTTTTCACTTACACTTGATTGTTTAATGATATTCTCTCTCTGTTTCTTTGTAACTTTCATTTTTAATTTTTTTATTTTAATTTAAAATCTTGACAATTTTGTGCGTACTTTTTAATTTTTAGATGTAAACATGTAAATTATTTTTATTAAATGTACACACCTGAAAATGGGTTAAACAACACGCAAAACGCCGTGCGTGGAAAATAAATACTTTTTTGATGAAAAACATTCTTATTGATTGTCAAAAAAGAAAGGACATTTGTGTTTTTTAATAATTTTTAGTAAAGCCTTCTTCTTGCGAGAAAAATGTATAAACAATAAATACTATTTCTTGGAATAAAGGAGCTCATGCTCCTTATTTAGCAACAACTCATTAGATTTCATTGTTCTTAATGCACGGCGGACTGTAAAATTCTTAAAGAACGCAGGCCTTTAGGAGGGGATTTTCGTTTCTCTATTTGGTTGCGTTTTCTTTTCATTATCAGCACAGTATTTAAAACGAGCGAAGTGGCTCAAGGCCTAGGCTGACTTCTCATTCGGGAGGCCCGCCTTCACATCCCACGGCACGGGGTTCTGTCCTTTTGCCGACCATTCTGATCGGCAATTTCGTGGTTTCCCTCGGCCATCCAGGCGAACGCTGGAATGGTTCTGCTGAATGGTTACGTTCTCGAAACCAGCATCGCTACCTGAATTTGTTAACTACGCGAAGTTACAAAGGTTAAGCGAATTTGAGGCATTGCAGGTTCCTGGTTGGTTGACCGACTAGGAGACCCAGAATCTAACGGTGCCGAAGCCAACTGCTCTTTACGGGACATAAAATGACTGAACACAAATACATTAATGTCCATTGTCCTCAATGGACGGCAGACTGTTAAAAATGCTTATTGGTCGCAGGTCGTTGAGAGTGGCTTTTCGTCTCTGGGTGCGTTGTCTTCACATTACCAGTAAAGTATTTGTTATGTGCCGTCCGCGTGGAATTCTTCTGAGGTTGTGCGCGTGCGCAGAGCCCGCGGTGCTGGACGGCGCCGTGCGCGCGCTGACGGCGCCGCTGCCGCTGCGCCCGCACAGCGCCGCCGCCGCCGCCGTCTTCCGCCTCCCGCCCCCGGGCACCGCGCCCCCCGGCGCCGCCCGCTGGGACAGGTGAGTCGCGCTCACGAACACTGAGTCATCGGGAGACAGACGATCTTTACGCTCCGAAAAGGTCGAATTTTTGCCTCGAAGCAACACGCAGATAAACTAAGCAAGACCTTTTAAACAAACAATAGTTTTTTATAATATTTATTTTTGTGTAAACATAAAATAATACATATGTAATGTAAAATGCAAATACCTCTAAACAAAGGAGACACAAAATATTCTATTCAATTTATTCGTATATTCTCATCTTTTGTATGATTCCGTTATTACCTAAGCATTAAAATAAATGTAAGTTTAACACGGTGTGTATTGCCAGTTACTTTTGTTGCTGCTGCTAAATGTAAGATGCAAATTGATGTCTTATTTAAAATATTTTATTAGATCTCAGAATAAATGTTGCAAAGGTCAATGGCTTGAAGGGAGTCGAAGATGATCATTTTTTGCTAAGGAATATGTGTCACGTCGTAGGCTTCCGCGGCCGGAGTCACGTGAATGATCTTGGCGGGTGATCTGACCGGGTGACACGGCGTCGAAAACTGTGTTGCCGACGTTTCGACCATCTTATCGTGGTCTTCCTCAGGGCTGGCCTGTGACCTTGGACGCGGCGTCACCTGGACAGCCAAGATCATTCGAATATGTGTCACGTCCGAACTTCAACCCGCCAACCGGTCGTCATAATCGAAGTGTATTCGCTGTTTCTAAATAACGCGAATGATCTCCTGATGAGTCAATGACCAAAGCATCAAATTTAAGAAAGGAGTATAAAGTTTTAGCGATCTAGAAGTATGACAGAAAAACAGGAGGAATGCGCAGCATACCAAAAATTTCTCTTCTCTTTATGACACTAGTTAATCCCCAACTACTACTCATATTTTAACAGAAGTAAGTGACATCATTTAAAAATTGAGGAAAAATTGCATTGAGAAAAAATCCCTGTCTTTAATATCAGAGTTGAAGGGTATGTTTGAAAATAAATTTGAACTTCGTAATTTTCAAAATTGCATACGTGTGAATAAAAATGGGAACTATACCATTTTTATAAATGCATTTTCATCTTACCAGCAAAAAATAAAGATTACTTGCCACCATTGTTTAGAAAAAATTGAAAATGTCACAGGAACTTCAGGTAAAGTACCCCCAAATTAAAATATCTTAATGCTCTCTGAAACAGCACAACGATATCTTATTGTTTACATATTTACCAAGTGTCGGGTCAAACGTTTCTAAATTGACAGTTTTGCGTTACACTTTCATCCAAACACATATCCCGATTTCGGGCAGTAAATACATGTATCTCGTTATTTATTCAATTCATAACTATCTTTGGAACAGCGCTAATAGATCTTAATCTTAACGTGTGTGCGAAATTACATATCAAAAGACCCTTAAATACAGATTTTAAGACCAAAAGTTCGAGATCGTATTGTTGAGGGGATTCCAATACTTTTTCCAAGTACCAACGTAAAAATTCGAAAAATGAAGTATCCAAATGGATACCGCAGCCATATTTTCTTCGTCCATACTCCGATTTAAACTCAATGGCACTTCAAAGTCACAAGCCAGATGAAGAGGGGTCACTGTCACCCAAATGGGAACTTCGGTACGCCTTAAACGTTTGGTATTGGAGGAATTGATATAGGATGACAATGTATCCCTCTCCTTCCAGCTCGTGGCCTTAAAGTGCCACAATGTTTAAATCACAGTATACCAAAGCCCACCCGAACCGTAGACTGGCCAGGAGGTCCTAGGTTCGAAGCCCGACAGTGGCTGAATTTCGACACTAGCTTGTCAGCTAGGTCGAATTCAGTTGCTGTCCGGAGGAGAATCCTAGAAGCCGGCTGTTCTGAATAGTAGTTTTCCGTGGTTTCTCCGATCAATACAAGAAGAATTCCGGAGCAGTATCCTAACAAACGGGCCACGAACCGTGCGCGATCTTCCTTCTTTTCCTGGTGCCATTTTCAGCTCTTACTTACACACACTTACACTTCATGCACTGCACTACACTACAACATAAGTTACCAGTCGGGTACTTAAGGCCCATTCACAATGCAAACATACACATAAGCATGGCGTTATCATAAAAGTTAGGACTACGTCGACAAGCGGGCTAATTCACAAAGCGTTCGCATAAGCATAACACGTAAGACGTTAACGTAAAAGCTCGGAAACTTCAAGTTTCTGTGCTTTTGCTTAAGTAAGACATAAGAAATGAACCAATCACAGTACGGTAACTCAAATTCGAGAAGCGAAATAGGAGTGAAGTCGATAGATGAACTAATGCCATATGGGCCATGGGCACATTCGATATCTCGAAATTGATTTTCACATCCAACTAATAGTAAACTAGAATGTCTAACAGCCAATAGAAGCTTATTTTGCTTTAGGTTATGTTACACATTGTGAATACTTCAGCCTATGACTTATGTTAATGTTTACATCTATGCGTTATGCATTGTGAATGGGCCTTCAGAGCTTGTCCCGGCTGGAGTGGTGCCCCGCAGGTGAGAGATACCTGTTTGGGGTAAACCACGGTAGCGAACGGTAGGTCGGCTCTCGCCAGCCAGAGGGGATGAAAAAAAAACAAGCATACACTTACGGTATAATGACCTTAGCAGTCGACGAGTCCGGAACCACTAATCAATCAACGAAAACAGGTGTCCGCCGACGGCGCGCGCGTGCGCAGGCGCGAGCAGCTGCTGGCGGTGCTG